TGTGGGACTCCTCAGTAGTGCGTATCCACGATCTCGCCCCACGAGATTCGAACCCATGACTTATGAGCCTCGCGCGAGAAAGCTTAAAGACTAGACCCCTGGGCCGGCTGACATCCAACGGCGTTAATGTCTAACTTCAACCAATCCACGTAATTGAGCAACCATTCACCATTGTCTTCAGTGAGTTACTATCTCATAACAGACCCGGTTGATTATCTTAAATCTTTGATATATGAGTTGTCTCTGGAACTTTTGAAAATTATCTTCAGGGTAAAGAATGAATCCTCAGTTATCAGAAATTTATAGATATTACTTTAAGTTAATTAATTTGTTAGTAAGAGTCACATAGTTCAATATAATACATTCCAGTATTTCTTCATGCACGCTTTCCTATTTCGTTTTCTTTTCTATGAAACATATACTCATTGTTCAGTACTTCTCTTTATGATTGCTACTACTGTGGTGTGGTCTACTTATATCCATATAAGTAGTATATGGTGTGGGTCAGACATAGAATGTATTTTGGCAGAAGACCGATGACGAAAGAACTGGAATGAAGCGCAATCGTCTGGAAAATGCATGAGCAATGGAATTAGAGAAGAAACAGTGAAGATTGAAACAATTGGTTGTTAATTTGCAAATTGACTGTTCATTGTTTGGTAATCAGAATTTATTGAGATAGTCTGTAATCTTTGCTTAAATACATTCGATTGTCCCCAACTAGTGTTCTGTTCACAACATTTGGTGTCGCTGCCAACCGGGAGGAGGAAGGGTGCTGTTCTGCGGACGCCGCTGCGGGTCTGGAGTTGAAGTGTTAGTTGGGGCAGTCCGGTGCGGAGAGTTGGCGTCGAGTGGAGTGTTCTGGCGGGGCGGCGTTGGCTGTAGCGGGTGCTGTCGACGGAGAGGAGCAGTGGGACGTGCGGCTGCTGGGCGGACATCGGATGTAGATGGCTCAGCAGGCCGGTGGAGTACGGGTGTTGAACGTCCCAGGTGCCGGGTGGATGCGGATGTTGGTGCCCCGGCAGGTCGACGGAGCTATGGAGGTCAGCGCGCCGCAGACTCGACATTCTAACGGAGAGTTTGGCACAGACTGCAGTGAAAGAAGATAGTGGCGTGGCGAGCAGAACCACCGCATGAACGAATGCTTTAAAGGGGGGACGAGTGTGGTGTGGTCTACTTATATCCATATAAGTAGTATATGGTGTGGGTCAGACATAGAATGTATTTTGGCAGAAGACCGATGACGAAAGAACTGGAATGAAGCGCAATCGTCTGGAAAATGCATGAGCAATGGAATTAGAGAAGAAACAGTGAAGATTGAAACAATTGGTTGTTAATTTGCAAATTGACTGTTCATTGTTTGGTAATCAGAATTTATTGAGATAGTCTGTAATCTTTGCTTAAATACATTCGATTGTCCCCAACTAGTGTTCTGTTCACAACACTACTACTTACTACTTACGCCTGTTACCCACGATGGAGCATAGGCCACCAGTACTCTACAACTCACTCTATCCTGGGTCTTCCTTTCTAGTTCTATCCAGTTTCTGTTCATTCTTCTCATGTCTGTTTCCATTTCTCGGAGTAATGTGTTCTTTGGTCTTCCTCTTCTCCTTTAGCCTACAGGATTCCATGTGACGGCTTATTTTGTGATGCAGTTGGGTGATTTCCTCAAAATGTGCCCAATCCACTTCCAGAGCTTATTCCTGATTTCTTCATCCACTGAAATCTGGTTTGTTCTCTGCCATAGTAGAATGTTGCTGATATTGCTTGGCTAACGAATCCGAAGTATCTTGCATAGATAACTGTTAATAAACACCTGTATCTTCTGGATGATGGCCTACATTATTTAAAACTCGTCTACTGGTCATAATATTAGTTTCATTTTGAGGTTCTATAGTGATATGATAGCTTGGGCCAATTGTATTGATAACTGACTTAGTTTTTATCATAGATGAATATTACAAATGTGGATTGAACTTGAGCCTTTTAATAAGGCAGTTAACCAAGATTTCTCAGATAATTGAAATCTTCAATAAAATTCTGCTACAACTGATCATTAGTTGGAAATAGTCAAGAGGAAACCATAGTTGACATCGATTTCATGCTAGCTGACGCTGTTCAGCAAAGTATACCTGGAATCTTCAAGGAACTGGTACCGCCAAGAGAATTTAAATTCATACTTTTCAGAAGGGAGTTTTGTGGAAATTTTATTAATTTTTTTATAGTTGAAATGATGAGTCAATTGAAGCTAAACCATCATTAAAAACCTGGAAGCATGGGACAGCTGATTCGTCCTATTGTGGGACTCCTCAGCAATGCGTATTCACGATCACGAGATTAGAGCCCAGGACCTATCGGTCTCTCACACGAACACTTAACTTCTAGACCACTGATCTAGCCAATACCCAACGGTGTTAATGTCCAACTGCCACCGATCCACGAACCATCTACCATTGTCTTCAGTGAGTTACTATCTCACAATAGACTTGATTGAACTCCACTGGTCACTGCTTCTCACTAGAACTGCAGAAAATACTTCTTGGAGCCAGTCACTACTATTCAATTTTACATTGTGAGATATTACTACAGGGATATTCAGCCTGTAAATTAATGATCTTTCGTAATAACTGAGATATTCACAATGACTAAGTATTGCTCAGAGGAAAACTGAATGTTACAATTAGTAATCAAGTAACTATTCCTTGATGTTAATCATCTTCGTAATTGTTTCCTACCATGAATTAAACATATACCCTATAAACTCTATAAACAAAAAAATTGAAAATTCCTTATATATGTATTAATTATATTACTTAAAAGTAGTAATGGCAAGATCATAATTTACAAACGTACCAATCAGATTTAGGATAACAAAGATTAGATTTTGGCGCAAAATTCATTCAGTCATATTGTAACAGAGTTGAAATTGTCATGTATAATGTGATTAACAGATTCTATTTTCTTTCTATTGTAGGACGATCAAGCATAAACTCTTTGGAGGAAGAACATCAAACCCTACGTACACTAAGCTTACAGGATAACTCATAAGACTACTTTGTAAATTAACTTTTGCCTCTGTACTCTCTTTGATTTTGATTTTGAAAATAAAAAGGCTCATCATCTCCACTCCATGTTCTCTCTTGGTGTGTAGTTCTCGATTAACATTGTGTATTGTGCTTTTAGATTTGTCCTGCCTTTTTCTGATTGCTGATTCCACTTGTTACAACTTAGCTAGATACCATTGTCAGTTCGTGATTAAAATCATAAATCTAATTCTTAACTCTAACTATCAATTATAAACTACAATACCTATACTTCAAACTGTATTATAATTTTCATATATGAAATCATGAGTCAATTGAATCTAGACCACAGGGGAAAACCTGGAAGCACTGGAAGACCGTTTCGTCCTATTGTAGGGCTCCTCAGCAGTGTGCACCCACCATCCTGCCTCGCGGGATTCGAACCCAGGACCTACCAGTCTCACGTCACAACACATGACCAATAGATCACTAAGCTGTCATCCAACGGTGTTAATGTCTAACTTCAACCAATCCACGATGTTTGAGCAACCATTAACCAATTGTCTTCAGTGAGTTGATATTTCTACAACAGACTTGGTTGAACTCTACTGGTCACTGCTTCCCACTAGAACTCAAGGAAATATCTCTTGAAGTCAGTCACTAGTGAGCATATGATTATAGATCAGAGGGGGTTTTGTGGAGAATTTAGTATTTTCATAGTTGAGATCATGAATCAATTGAAGCTAGACAACCATGGAAAACATTGAAGCACTGGACAGCCGTTTCGTACTATTATGGAACTCCTCAAGCGCGGGATCGTGGATGCGCACTACTGAGGAGTCCCACAATAGGATGAAATGACCTTCCAATGCTTCCAGGTTTTTCATGCTAGTCTAGTTTCAATTGACTCATTATTTCAACTATGAAAATACTAAATTCTCCACAAAACCCCTTCTGTTTTATAATTTTCATTTAACTTTAGCAACTAAATGAACATTCTCATAGATACTAAAGCACCATTGCTAGATCATTCATAAATTATAGTCTTAAAGTAGTAATAATAGTGTAGTAAACAAGAACACTAGTTGGGGACAATCGAATGTATCTAAGTACAAATTACAGATTATCCCACTAAATTCTGATAATCATACAGTGAACAGTCAATTTGCAAACTATCAATCAATTATCTCAATCTTCATTGTTCCTTCAGTAAATATCAGTCCATCATCTCTGATTTCATCATTCATACATTTTCGTACCGATTGTACTTCATTCCTGTTCTTTCCTTATTGATCTTCTGCCAAAATACATTCTATATCTGACCATCATCATATACTACTTATATATGGATATAAGTAGACCACACTACAATAGTACTAATAAGTAATCACTTGAAATTAAACTATATTTTATTCAATTTTCAATGAAATTGTGTGAAATTTAGTAAAGAAGAAAATATAATTTTTAAAAAAAAGAAAAAATGAAACAACCACAAAAAAATAAGAGAGAAAAAAAATCAATAATCAAGTAATTTTTATACAAAATTAAACGAATAAACAATCAATTAAACAAGGGAAATGAAACCGAGATCATATTAGGTTATGGCAATAATATAAATTGTTCATTATCAATAATCGATAATCAATAATCAATAATAATAATAATAATAATAATAATAATAATAATAATAATAATGGTAAATTTAATTTACACTTCACAATATACAACCATTCAATATCTGTGTAAATTATGATTATTTTTTGAACTCCCCCCCTCTCTACTTAATAAATAATCAATATTCTATCAGAATAGGCTTAATTACAATGAATCAATATGAATTATTGATTATTTATCATTAAAATGTAAAAAAAAAAATTATTATGATTACTATTAATATTATTATTATTATTATCATTAAATAATGAAATATTTTTTTGTAATTGTACAATGAATTAAATAAAAGAAATTAAACTAAGATCATGTCAAGTTATAGCAACAGTATTGTTTGTTCATAATCAATAATCAATAATCAATAATGGTAAATTTAATTTATACTTCACAATATACAATCAATCAATATCAATTTGAGTTGTGAATTTTTTTAAACTCACCCTCCCCCTCCATCAATGAATAATCAATAATTTATTAGAACACTCTTAGTAACAATTAATCAATATGAATTATTGATTATTTTATTATCAAAATGTTAAATTATTATTATAATTATTATATAATGAAATATTTTTTTTGTTATTATACAAATCAATTGAACAAAAAGAAATTTAACCGAGATCATGTCAAGTTATGACAATAATATTGTTTGTTCATAATCAATAATCAATAATCAATAATAATCGTAAAGTTACTTTACACTTCACAATAAACAATCAATCAATATCGATTTGAGTTGTGATTTTTTTTTGAGCCTCCCCCCCCTCAATTCAATAAATAATCAATATTCTATCAGAATATACTTAGTAACAGTGAATCAATTATTGATTATTGATTATTGATTATTAAAATGTATTATTATTATTATTATTAAATAATGGTATAGTTTTTGTCATTGTATTATTTATAGTTAATAAATTTGTTAATAAATTAATTGTTTTATATGATTCCATTGAATTGATATTGAATTTTGATATTAATGAATTAATTGGTATATTAAATGATAATAATTTTGTTGTTTCTATGGGAGATAAATGATCTATAGGATAATATGATAAGGTTGGTATAGTAGTAGGGGTAGTAGGGGTAGTAGTATTAGTATTAGTAGTATTAGTAGTAGTATATGATTGAATTGGATTACATATTGATAATGGTGATGATGATAATGATGATGATACTATCGACGATGATATATGATTATCATTGAATTCAATTGATTTAAATGGTAACCAATTGGATAATTCAATAATTGATTGATTATCAATTTTATTGATATGATTTAATGGATTATTGATTGTAGTAAATTTTAATGGAAAATGATTAGTTATATCAGTAGTATTAGTAGTAGTATTAGTAATAGTTTCTGTGGTGATTGGTAATTCAATGGATGAATTAAATTTTGTCGGTGATTTGAAGGAAAATGAATCGTGATCATTTAATTTTGAAACATAATCATCAGTAGTATTACTAGTAGTAATAGTAGTACTAGTATTAGTAGTATTAGTAGTACTCGTATTAGTAGTATTATTAGTAGTATTGGTAATAATATGTTCATTTTGATTGATTTGGTTAAAAGGAATCACTTTATTATCCTTATTATGATGATTATTAGTTTGTTTTAATTCATTTGTTATATCAAAATCAGTTTTTTTCTTTATAATTGCTTCCATATTAGCAAGAATTGTTTGTGCAGCTGGATGATATGCCCAATATGGATTTGTTTGTAGAATACGTTGTACTGCTACAAAATTACCAGCTTCAGATAATAATTCAAAACCAACAGCAGTTTGACGTTTCCATTTTGTTCTGGAATGATTTATGAAGAAAAAAAATTGTAAGTATTATTTAAAACTATACATCATTTGAATAAGTTTAATATACTTACTTACTTAATTTACTTACGCCTGTTACCCCTCTCGTCGAGGAGCATAGACCACACACCAGCATTCTCGATCCAACCATTTCCTGGGCAATACTTTTCAATTCTTTTCAGTTACCATTCATCTTTTTCATATTTGCTTCGTTTTCCCGACTTAATGTGTTCTTTGGCATTCCTTTTTCCCGCTTCCCTTGCCTTGTGATGCAGTCTGATAATTTCCTTAATGTATGCCTGTTCTACTTCCAATGTCTTTTCCTTATTTCATCTTCAGCTGATTTGTCCTCTCCGATAAAACGCTGTTGCTGATAGTATCCAGTCAGTGAATGTTGAGTATTTTGCGTAGACAACTGTTTATAAATACTTGTACCTTCTTGACGATGGATTTAGTAGTTCTTCATGCTTCAGCTCCATACAGTAGGACTGTCTTGACGTTCATATTGAAGATTCTCACTGTGAAATTAGTTGACAGTTGTTTTTGAGTTCTATATGTTCTTCAACTGTAGGGATACTGTCCTTGCTTTGCCGATCCTTGTCCTTACATTTGCAACAGATTCTCCATATGCATCGATTATGCTACCAACATACGTGAATGTTTCCACCTCTTCCAGAGTTTTGCCATCAAGTGTGATTGGGTTGGTGTTATCCGTGTTGTATTTGAAAATCTTGTTTTTTCCTTTGTGCATGTTGAGGCCTATTGATGCAGAGACTGCTGCTACATGTGCTGTCTTCATCTGCATTTGGTCGTGTGTATGAGAGAGGAGGGCTAGGTCATCTGTGAAGTCCAAATCGTCCAATTGATTCTGAGATGTCGATTGTATTCCGTGTTTCCCCTCAGATGTCGAATTCTTCATAATCCTGTCAATCACTAGAAGAAAGACGAAGGGGGAGGGTGTACAGTTTTGTATGTCTCTGGTCCTTACTGGAAATGCATTTATCAGATGTCCTCCATGCACCACTTTGCACTGTAGTCCATCGTATGAGTTCCAGAAAATGTTGACAATCTTCACAGGAACACCATAGTGTCGAAGAAGTTTCCATAATATTCTCCGGTCCACACTGTCAAACGCCTTCTCATAGCCAACGAAGTTGATCCATAGCGATGAATTCCACACAACGGATTGTTCCACGATGATGTGTTCTTTTAAGTGATTATTTAATCTAATTCAGAGGACACAATATCTACGAAACATTCACTTACAGAAACATTCAGAATTCATATGATCAAAATATTAGTTTAGTTGAAAGGGGTTTTATGATGATTATCTTAATTTGTAAATTTTATTTATTATCAACTTCACTTGGAGTACCATTGAGAACCAGAGAGCACTCTTCAAAAATATGTACATTTAATTGTACTATGGACCAAAATCCAGGATCTTTATGCCTCTTAGTTAATGCTATATCGGGAACTGACATTACAATTCCAACTCCAATCACTTTACTATCTGACATTGAAATCATCCAATTTCATTTCTCACTATTATTTCCTTTCCAACATATCTTGATATTTTATATAATTGAGATCATGAGTAAATTGAAGCCAGATTATAATGGAAAACCTAAAAGCGCTGGACGACCGAATCGTCCTATTATGGAACTCCTCAGCAGTGCTTATCCACGACACCGCCTCGCGATATCAGTCTCGTGCACGAACGCTTAACCTCTAGACTACTGAGTTGGCCGATATCCAACGGTGTTAATATTGAACTTCATTCAATCCACTAAATTGAGCAACCGATCACTAATGTCTTCAGTAAGTTGATATCTCTCAACAGACCTGGTTGATATTCCCAATCATAAATCCCATATTATAATAGTTGTCCAGTTCTCTTTAGTTCTCAAATTTATCTCAACTGAAATCAATCTGATGTGAAATAGTAACTTATTGAAGACAATGGTGGATGTGTTGCTAAATTTTATGGATCAGTTGAACTTAGATATTAACACCATTGGATATAGGCCAGCTCAGTAGTCTAGAGGTTAAGCGTTCGCTCACAAGGTGTTGTCGTGGATGTGCACTGCTGAGGAGTCCCACAATGGGACAAAACAACCGTCCAATGCTTCCAGATTTTCCATGATATGCTAGCTTCAATTGATTCATGATCTCACAAACCACCTCCCTTCTGATATCAAAAAGAGAAGACAAGAAAAGAAAAAAAACAACAACAACAACAGCAATACTCACCTTCTATTTTGATACCATGTTTTAACTTGTGTATCAGTTAAATGTAATCTTTCAGCTAATTCAATACGATCTTGTACACTTAAATATTTTTGATGATCAAACATTTTTTCTAATTCATTTAATTGTAAATCAGTAAATGCTGTTCTAGATTTACGTGGTTTCTTTGATTTATTCATATCATAATTTAGATCATATTCTTTATGATGATGATGATGATGATGGTGCTGATGGTTCTGCTGATGATGCTGCTGATGGTGCTGCTGATAGTGATGATATGTTCGATGGCTTTCATTTGAAGGATCTAATTTTGATGAGATAATTGATTTTTTCTTATTCATTGTTGATAATTTATGATATGGATCTATTGAATGAGTTGAATATAAAGATTCATTTGAATGAATTTCAGAATATTCATCATCAATCTCATCCTCATCCTCTTCGTCATCATCATCGTCGTTGTTGTTATCGTTATCATCGGTACCATCTTCTTTGATTTGATCTTCTTCTTTTTGATTTTCATTGTTTGTATTGAAGCTATTCAGATGATTTATTGTTGATAGGATCAATTTGGTATCATTTGAATTATTTGTTATTTCATTTGAATCTTTAATTGGAAAATATTGAAAGAAAAGAATAATTAATAATTAATTGAGATCATGAGACAATTAAAGCTAAACAAACATTGAAAACCTGGAAGAACTGAACGGCCGTTTTGTCATATTGTGAGACTCCTCAGCAGTGGGCATTCATGATCTCGCCTCATGAGTTTCGATCCCACGATCTATCAGTCTCTCGTGCAAGCGCTTAACCTCTAGACCACTGATCCAGCCAATATCTAACGGTGTTAATGTCTAACTTCAACCAATCCACGAAATTAAGCAACCGTCCATCATTGCGCATTGTTGAGGAATCCCACAATAGGATGAAACGGCTATCCAGTGCTTCCAAGTTTTCCATGATGGTCTAGCTTCATTTGATTCTATTTGTTTCTGCAATCATTTTGGTACATATTCACACACCTTAATTTTGAGATCACAATTTCACCTCCCTATGTTATAAATTCTTTCTGCTGTGTTTACTTTTTATCCGCCCTCCCCCTCACCTATCGACTGTTCACTATTTATGTATTCAGATTGATTATGAATATAGTTCTGATTACGTAATTTTTATTGATTATGATTTTCGTTGAAATTTTTTTTATGTTCTTCGTAATTGAAAACTAAGGTAGATTAGATTACTGTACCAACCTAGTATGATATGCCTAATCAGTGGAAAACTACGAATCTAGCGGGAATCGAACTCAAAGCTTTCAAGTTTTGAATTAAGTACTAAACCATTAAGTCATAGGGTTACTGTCTAATAGTATACATTTCCAGTTTCCATCATCCCATAATATTGAGCAACAATCATTCATTGTCATGGATGATAGCTATCTGATCTCCACAACATTTTATAAGTTTTATTGACCCCACTTTCTCATTAGAAATTTAATTGCTTTTCTTCGAAGTTGATCATTAGTCAGTCGGTATAATGTAAAATGCCTTCATAAACTTTTAATTCTAAATAAATTACTAATGTGGTTTGGTTGAAGTTAGACATTAACACCGTTGGATGCCGGCCAGATCAGTGATCTAGAGGTTAAGCGTTCGCGCACGAGACTGATAGGTCCTAGGTTCAAATCTCATGAGGAGGGACCATTGATGCTCACTGGTGAGGAGTCCCACAATGTGACGAAACGGCCGTCCAGTGCTTCCAGACTTTCCATGATATTCTAACTTCAATTGACTAATGATTTCATCTATAAAATTACTAAAATCTCCACAAAACCCCCTTCTGATAAAAAAACATAACCCAATAAGAATAGAAGACAAACATCCATCATCCTTTATTGCTAAACATATTATGGAAACAGGTCATATGATTGATCTTAACTCGGCTTTTGCGGTGTTGTATAAAAGTGTAAAAGGGTATGCACTAAGATTTATTGAAGCCTTAATCAAACGAAAATTCAACCCCCCTTTGTGTATTCAAAAACAGTTTGTTCTCACCTTAAACCTACCCATCTTATTATCCGGAGTGATTAGGTTTCTAATTGTTTCCACATTATTATTATTATTACCCTTGTCTATTCTTACCCCTATTTCCAGTCTAGTTGACCTTCTACTTTTTATATATAAATGTTCTTAACAAGTGTATGTGTGATCAGATTGTTCGAAATGTATTGCGCTAATATCTCATTACGTAGTTCGGATAACCTTCGTCTTCTTATTACACTATCGAAATGTATCAAAGGGAATAATTGCTTTAAAAGAAACAAAACTGTTCGATAACATTCGGAACTTTTGCCTATTTAAGAAATATTGCGCTTTTATAATTGAAATCATCATCTACGCTTTATCATCCGGGTCGCCACTGGAAACAAAATAGAGATGAGTGGTTGTTTTGTCCTATTATAAGACTCTTCAGTAGTTTACATTCACGAGTCCATCATAAGAAATCAAATTCAGGATCTACAGCATTGCGTTAATTATTTACGTACGCCTGTTACCCCTAGTGGGGGAGGATAGGCCGCACAACAGTTTTCTACATCCAACCCTGTCCTTGAAAATCCTTTCCAGTTCGTTCCAGTTAACATTCATCCTTTTCATATCTGCTTCGATTTTTTTCAAAGTAATGTGTTCTTTGACCTTCCTCTTTTCCGCTTACCTTCACCATTCCAAGCTACGACTTCACTTGTGATGCGGTTTGGTGATTTCCACAATGTATATCATATCCACTTACAACATCTTTTCCTAATTTCCTCTTCAGCTGGAAGCTGATTTGTCCTCTCCAATAAAACGCTGTTGTTGATAGTATCCAACCACTGAATGTTGAGTATTTTGCGTAGACAATTGTTTATAAATACTTGTACCTTCTTGACGATGGATGTAGTAGTTCTCAACGTTTCAGCTCCATACAATAGAACTATCTTGATGTTCGTAGTGAAGATTCTCACTTTGAAGTTTTTTTTACAGTTGTTTTGAGTTCCATATGTTCTTCAATTGTAGAAATACTGCCCTTGTTTTGTCAATCCTCACCTTTAAATGTGCATCCGATCTTCCTCGTTTATCAATGATGCTTGCGTGGAAATATTAAATTGTAAATATATTCATACAATTGATTAAATGTTCAATCATTAAACTTTTCATTTCCATAACCTCCGGGTATTTTATTAAAAATTGGTATTCTAAATAACTACTGAATAGGAATTTTGGAAACACCGATGAGGAGATTTATTGACACTGTCATCATTATTACTGCTACTAGTAGTAGTAGTAGTAATAGTAGTAGTAGTAGTAGTAGTAGTAGTAGTAGTAGTAGTAGTAGTAGTAGTAGTGGTAGTAGTAGTAGTAGTGTGGTGTGGTCTACTTATATCCATATAAGTAGTATATGGTGTGGGTCGGACATAGAATGTATTTTGGCAGAAGACCGATGACGAAAGAACTGGAATGAAGCGCAATCGTCTGGAAAATGCATGAGCAATGGAATTAGAGAAGAAACAGTGAAGATTGAAACAATTGGTTGTTAATTTGCAAATTGACTGTTCATTGTTTGGTAATCAGAATTTATTGAGATAGTCTGTAATCTTTGCTTAAATACATTCGATTGTCCCCAACTAGTGTTCTGTTCACAACAGTAGTAGTAGTAGTAGTAGTAGTAGTAGTAGTAGGAGGAGGAGGAGGAGTAATAGTAGTAGTAGTCTGAAACATAATAAATTCATTTCAAAAAGAAACTATATGGTTGATTTCCTGTTTCCAGATTTTCTATTAACCCGAATAATAATGATTATTATTTAAAAGCAAATATGGATATTGGCTAGAAATGGAATTCAGTTGAACGCGCGTTTCGTCCTATTTGGGACTTGTCAGTTGAATGCATCAGAATTAATATTCACTCTTGTAACTTTAGGCAATATTGAGGCAGTTCGCATAGGATGCACATATGCCAACAAGAGATTTATCAATTACAGTCCTAAATAATAATGAGAAGATATAAGTATACAACACCAAGTGAATATTATTATTTAAGTTTATATAGAATAGATGGAATGTAACTAACAGTGAATAGAATGTAAGATGTATATTTCTTTTTGTTCAGGGTTCATCAGCTTGATAAGTTAACATTTCAGAGTTGAAGTTCACTCCAAAATTAAAACTTGATACCTATCACTTCAAAACTTGAAGTTAAGTTGAGATAACGGCGAGACTAAAGAACATGGACGACCTTTGAACGAATCTTAAATGACCTTGAGAAATATTAGCCAATCAGAAGACAGTTAGCATACAGTAAAAATATATTATATAAAACTCAAAAATTAAAGGGGATAGTGTTCTTTTACATGAATCAAAAACTTATCAAGGTTAGATATAGGTTCAGAAGTTCTAAAATCATAGTGCATCCGGCACAGGAACTCATCCCTGTGGCTCCATAGTAGCCGACCTCTGAAACCATGATAAAGTCCCGAAAATTCTTTCAGCCTCGACCACATAGTTTCAGTGTTGTCGGTATGTTGGTATGGTTCAGGGTTTAAGATTAGGGTTAAGGTTTAGGGTTACGGTTTAGGGTTAAAGATGAGACTATGAATTATGGACGACATTTGAGCGACGCTAGAGTGAATCTGAGAGTGTAAACGTAATAACTAAGACTAAATGAGGGTCATAAACCCGTGTGAAGAATTCAAATTATGATTTACAGTTCATGGTTAAGGTTAGGAATTATACTTACGGTTTTCATCACGAACTGACATCAACTATAATGCCACAACTCTGTCCAAATGTATAATTGAGTTTTGCGCCAAAATCTTATGATAACTTATCTTGTAGATGCTTAATTATCATGTTTTCTCTAAAATCCGTTGTAAACCGACCGTACGTAAGCATCAGGTACCGAACTTAGCGCCGTGACCTTGAAACCCACGAAAGCTTCTGATTGGCTCGTCCATGTTCTTTAGTCTCGCCGAGATAACCTCTCAATTGTGTAAAAAGGTTTAACCTTACCTTTCATTTGTAAAGATTTCTAAATTATCCCATTGTTGATATTGTGTCTGTGAACTACATGTACTTTCATGGTTTACATCCTATCATGAGTTTAATTATTGAAAACGTTAAAATATACTATCATGGTAATTTATGACGTTTTCTTATCTTCTTCCTATAAATCAGAAGGAGTTTTGTGAAGATTTCAGTATTTTCATAGTTGAAATAATTAGTCAATTATAGCTAGACCACCATGGAAAACCTGGAAGCATTGGACGGCCGTTTCATCATATTATAGGACTCCACAGCAGTGAGCATCCACGATCCCGCCTTGCGAGATTCGAACCCAAGACCTACCAGTCTCACACCAGAGCACTTAATCTCCAGACCACTGAGCTAGCCGGCATTCAACGGTGTTAATGTCTAACTTCAACCAATCCACGATGTTTGAGTAACCGTTAACCAATTGTCTTCAGTGAGTTGATATCTCTACAACAGACTTGGTTGAACTCCACTGGTCACTTCTTCCTATACGCTTAAGGAGTAACTAGGCGAGACTACTGTAGAATTCAGTGATCGAATGATATATCTTGGGAAGAAAATTGTTTTATATGAATATTTAAAAATGAATCTAATATGTTATTTAATCATTATATATTAAATTGTAAGCAGAGATGGATAATGACTAACATTGGAATCAGGGAAATGAAACCGGATTAAATAGAGATGAGTTGAAACATGAAAGTCGGTGAGTTACTTCTATTGTCTGTTGTCATACATATCGTTTTAATTGAATGATTTCATTATTATGAATGATTTATTTAATCAGTATGATATTGATAAATTCTGTTATATTTTCAATGTTTGTTGTATATTTCAAATGGTAATCTGATCATATTTTAAAGTCATACTTCGTCATGAACAAGATGATCTCAAGTACATTCGGAGATATGAGGATGATTGTCACTTCATCATTACTTAAATCCTGAAAGGATATTATTCCTTAGGACTTTTGAAAAAGGAAACCGGGTTAGTAATGATCTTAATTACCTAAGAGCTCCACTATGAAGCCCAAGCGACAACTGACTGTGTATAATGAAGATTATTTGTGGGTTAAGTGGTGAATCATTTGACGTTATTATGAGTGTGATTGTGGTCAATGCTCTACAGTGCCATATCTAGCATACATGGAAGACTTGTGTTTCATCATATATTTTTGACTTATCAGCCAAACATGCCTGTATCCTAGAGTTGATGAAGGTGAAACATACCTCCTGGATTCCTCTACTATCCGTATTCTATCTAGTCTATATAAAATTATGACATAATGTGTTTATCAAAGTAATCCGTATAGATTGAATATATCTTAACGAAATCTAATCAAAAGTCAGTCAAAACACTGAAAACGAGGCAATCTAAACTATTAAATTGTTATTACTATTCATTTGTATTCATTGAAATTCATTCTAAACGATCAATCTAATTCACTCTATGAATTACAATGTTGAAGTCAAAATAATCATCAAGAAGGTACAAGTATTTATAAACAGTTGTTTACGCAAAATAATCAACATTGAATGGTCGGATACTATCAGAAACAGCGTTTTATGAGAAAGGACAAATCAGCTTCTAGCTGAAGAAGAAATTAAGAAAAGACATTGGAAGTGGATCGTACATACATTGAGGAAATCACCAAACGGCATCACAAGACAATCCCTTACTTGGAATGGTGAAGGGAAGCGGAAAAGTGAAAGGCCAACGAACACATTACTTTGGGAAATAGAATCAGATATGAAAAGGATGAATGTTAACTGGAACGAACTGGAAAGGATTTTCAAGGACAGGGTTGGATGTAGAAAACTATTGTGTGGCCTATGCTCCTCCATGAGGGGTAACAGGCGTAAGTATTAATGTAGACTAATGATTGAACATTAGAGAACTAATTTCAAAACAAGGGATGAATTTGATCGATAAAAAGTACGAAATGATATTGAAACTTACGATTTTGAAATGAGAAGAGTTAAAGACTAAATGCACCTACTTCAGTAAGGCTGATTTCGATTTATAACAATCAATATCATGAAGATCCTAGCTATATAGTTTCAATCTATCATCATGGTTCAAACCAATAGTTAATAACTTCATAGATTGATGGTAGATCTTGTTTTTGATCACCCATAACATTCTTTCAAAGTACTTTTAAGTCCTTTTGAATTATGCACAGTGGCACTCCAACCACCTAGTTGTATAACAGTCATCTAATCACCGGTGATTAACTCTGAGACTGAATTTTTCTAAGTGACAGTCAAATATTATGATTACTTGAAGATATTCATGTGAGGGGTATTTATTTAGTTATTTATTTAAAAAACACATAAATATGGGTATAAAAGGGTACCAGATATATATGCGCTACACAAAACTCATTTGATTTGTGTGAAAAATGTGATACTACCTGGGTGCCCAAACTGAAGCAGGTGGTTTTCTTAGGGGGCCACACCCCGAGCTTTTGACCTAAAGGTCTGATCCACAAGGCAGTGTAGCATGGTGAGGAGATGCAGTCACATGGTAGCCGGACACCAACGATTGATTCATACGCTATTTGTCCCCTGATTGTACTAGAGCCCATGTGCACCGTTTCTTTGGAATGAGGGTTTTCTAACTCCCCTAGGTGGACTCACATTGTCCACCAACCCGGTTAATGCGCCAGACATTCGCCTTCCATCCTCTCAATTTTGTAAACAACACCCCCACCACGAGAAGGCAATGAGTAGGACTTTTCTGACAGAGGCTATATATTCGCGTGGCCATGTGAGAGTCTTTCGAGAGGGAGAGCGAACTCTCCCCACTCTCGGCTGTACCTGGGTATTTGGGTTGACTATTGAACATATAGTGTTGAATATAAAACAAGACTATTATTATTCTTAATTAAGTTAGTCACAGCTACATCCAGCTGATGAGTCCATAATAGGATGAAACATATGTATTAAATTTCATTGTTAACCTCTATTCAATTTTACTATAAAAGAAATATAAAACAAAATGTCAATATATTGATCTGATCCCCTCAATATGTGCATTTATGTACTAGATCAACGTTAGTCCTTATCATTAATATACCCTTACAAATACGTTTACTATTACTATTACTACTAGTAGTAGTAGTAGTAGTAGTAGTAGTAGTAGTAGCAGTAGCAGTAGTAGTAGTAGTAGTAGTAGTAGTAGTAGTAGTAGTAGTAGTAGTAGTAGTAGTAGTAGTAGTAGTAGTAGTATACTCACTTACTTACGCCTGTTACTCCCAATAGAGCATAGGTCTGTAACTTCTCCGAGGGCTACTATCAGTCCCAAGCTCGGATAAAGGAGGAGGGTTGGGCATGGAGTTAAGCGACCCGATCCCATAGAAAATCAACTTACTAAAACAAACGCTAACCAGTAGTACTAGTATAGGGATACAATTAATGAATATTAGAAATAAAGTATTCTATCTACCTTTAATAGAATAATGTTCTTTCAACTTTCCTTCTATCAATTGTCTTGTATCATCAACAGAATGTTCATCATGTTGATCTAATTGATATTTCATATGATTGATGAACATCTTTTTATGATCTATATTCATATATGAATGACAATCATCTTCAATGGTCATTAATGATGTACTTGTTCTTCTTTCATTTTTCATTGTAATTGGGATCTGATAATCATCATTATAATTATTATTAGTAGTATTATTATCAGTAGTATATTTCCGTTTTAGTTTATTTTGTTTATATTCATCACATGGAATCATTCTATGCTTTATATATCCATTAATATCATAATTAATCTGTATATCTTCTTGTTCATTGTATAATTTGTATACTTTATCTTTTTCATGATTATTATTAATAATAGTATTATTATAAGTAGTCTGTTTAGATTGATCTAAAATATCATTGATCATAAATGATCTTGATTGATATATTTCATGAATTGATGATACAGTTAAACATGTTGGAGATGTTGACGACGAAGGAGACGACGATGATGATGTCGATGTCGATGTCAATTTTGGTGAATTTAATAACATTGAAGAAGAAGAAGATGATGACGATGATGATGATGATGATAATGTCATAGAAGATGATGAATTCAATAAATGAATATCACCGGATTTACTAAGATCAAGCTCATCTGTTTGTGATTGATTAAGATTATGTAACATACTCAATGATAATTACATAATATCAATTTGTGGGTAATGAATCGTATTGTATATATATATTACATAATATTACATAACTTATACTTTTACCGACATATCTCAGAAGTGTTAACAAAGAACAAAAGATTGTACAATTAAACCATAAATAGCAATCCTTATGTTATCTTCTATTTTTTTAAACTGTAATCTATGTTATTAGATATATATTTATCCACAAGTTTTATTGAGTTGACACCACCACCCCTACCCACTCACTCACCCATCCTCCACCCCCCACACACATACACCTCCACAACAACAACAAACTGTGATAATCTATAAAGTGTTATTATTACTATCTTTTTTGTCCCCTTCCTTTTCTATCATGATTAAATATGATTAGTAACAATTATATAGATATCTCTGTTTTATGTCACTTAATGAAATAAACCGTGTATTGGTTTAAAATTATTTTAAAAAAATTATCATGAAAGGGTTACTTTTAAGAAAAAAAAACTGAAAAAAAGAAAATTATCTAAATTTTTGAGTAGGGTGGAGAATAGAATTTTGTTTTTTTACGGGTTAGGGAGAAAAACGTTTTTTTCCTCTCTTGTATATATTATATAGATAGATAGATAGATAGTTCGAGAATACATTTTGTATAGGGTGATATATTGATGATAGGGATAAGCAACAACAACCACCACCACCACCACAACAACAACAACAACAACAACAATGAGGAAACAAAAATAAATTGTCATGAGTACAAAATTGTAGAAATTTGATTGGATGAAAAGCTTTTGTTGTTATGTATATTTCTATATATATATATATATATATATATATATATATATATATATATATATATAGATGGGTTAAGAGGTGGGTATTATTCATTTGGAGATGGAAAAATTTTGTTTCAACTCTAACTGCATCAAATGATTTTGTCCTTTTTAAATGTATGTATATATGTATATGTATGTACGTGTGTGTACGTGTGTGATGACGTATATGTTGTATCATTTTAATTCGTTTCACTTACAAACACTGCATAAGCAAGTGGATATCAGGACTCAGTAGCTGAGTGGATAATTCGATGTCGTTTGAAGTGAAATGAATTGGTTTCGAGTCCCAAAGTGAACATCAACTCTGAGATGCAGATATATTTAGCTGAAGAGTTTCAAAATAGGACGAAACGCATGCCCTGGATTCAACTGCTAGCCACTATACATCTTTGCTTACAATGCTTGTGAATTAAGGCAATATAGAGGCAATACGCACAGTATGCATACATACCAATAAGAGATTGACCAGGTGCAGTCCTAAACATTAATGGGAAGATTCAAATAAACAATACCAACGGAAGCTAAACTTCACCCCATTGCACAAACAGGTGGCTATCAGGACTCAGTGACTATGTGAATAACTCGATGGCATTTGAAACGAAAGGAATTAGGTTTGAGTCCCAGAGTGAACATCAACTCTGAGATGATAGTACACCTAGCTGACGAGTCCCAAATAGAACGAAACGAATGTCTTGAATTCTAATGCCATACAATATTCATCTTTTATAATAATGCTTGTGAATTAAGGCAATATCGAGGTAATATGTACAATATGCACATATACCAATAAGAGTCTGACCAGTTGCAGTCCTAAGCATCAAAGGGAAGATTCAAACAAACAATACTAAGTGAATTTATTATTTCATAAGTTATGTTTGTTTGTTTGTTTTCTTTCTAACTAATTGGTTCCTAGATGTTGATTATGATTAAGATCATAAACTGATTGATGTTTATGATTTCAATCAAAATTATAATATAATCTCCATTAACCCTATACTGATAATTACTATGTACTCACTAGTGACTAGTTTCAAGAGGGAATTCTTGGAGTTCTAGTGAGAAATAGGAATCCGTGGAGGTTTTCTGTGTCAAGTAGAGATAGGTGTCTACCTCAGTACAATGGAAGATGGTCACGCAATTTCTTGGATTAGTTGAAGTTAGACATTAACACTAGTTCAGTGATCTAAAGGTTAAGAGTTCATACTCGAGACTGAAGGTCCTGGGTTGGAGTCTGGTGTGTGGGACCGTGGATGTGCACTGCTGAGGAGTACAATGATATTACAAAAAGGCCTTCCAGTAATTCTAGGTTTTCAATGTTGGCCTAACATCAATTGGTTTATGATCTTAATCAAAATCATAATAATCTTCACAACCCAATACTCATAATGTTGATGATGTAATATCATGCAAAAGATAAATGAGTTACATTTTTTATTGAAATCATCAGTCTATTCAAGTTACACAACTATTGGAAACCTGGAAACACTGAACGGCTGTTTAGTTGTAGTATGTGACTCCTCAACAGTCAATATACAAGACCCTACAGTCGTGAATTGAATCCAAGTCATTATGTCTCGATTTAGGTAATAAAAATTTTATTGTTTTGTTTGTAGTAGAGGGGGTCTGTAGAGACTGTTGAATTTTGTCAACTCGCATTACCAACTGATTTTAGTCAAATAGCCATTAAAAACAAGGTAGTACAAGACAACCATTTTGTCTCATGTTACTAACAGAACACATGTGCTCATTAGTGATTAACTTGGTGAGATAATTCTCATGATTCTAGTGAGAAATCATGTCCAGTTGAATTTAAACAATATCATACATGAAATGAATATGATGCAGCTATTAGATGATAGCCACTCAATATCATGAATTGATTGGAGTTATAAATCTAAACCATTAAATGTCAGTCAGTACTTTAAATGTTAAGCCCTTTCCAAGAGACCTGAATGTTTTTTGTTAGATCTCTTATGGTGTCATAGACTAACACTGCTGAGTGTCATACTAGAATCAAGCATCTTTCCAGAGCCTCCTAGTTTTCAATAGTTGTCAACTAATGACATAAGGATAAAAAATATTACAATTATTTATAATTGGGTAAAGGTGGTATAGTCCATGAATCCTTAATATTTAAGTATATGAAGATAGAATGAAAGAATCTGGCTCAATGCATAAAAAGAAAAAGAAAAAAAGGCTTTTAGAAGACTTGAATTCCACGAACCTCATGAAAATCTCTGTTCTAAAGTGTATTCCAATGTTGAACTCTCAGAAATCATCGACAAATACAGCATGCTAGTTAAATCAGCTAATACAAAACTCCTTCAATCAAACCGTAACAGTCAGTTCATTAGCAGTCTCCCTCAAAATGGTCTTGAAGTTCTAATGGACATTCGTAAGTGGTGGAGTTTGTGTATGCTAGATGGTTATCGTCCTACATCGCAAACTGATTGAAGTTAAAATTGAACCAATGAAGGTATGTGCATTGATACTAGTGGTTCAGCTTTCGTTGAAAAACCTTAAGATTCTGGGTCCAATCTTTTGTTAGGCAGTGAATTTTCACTACTGAACGTTCTCAGACTATGACGAGACAGTTATCTAATGATCCTTACTTTTCGACAATACCCTTACTAAGATTAATCTGTGATCAATACAAAATACACATTACACTGATCTACATAAAACCTTTTCAATCAATAAGGTAGGCAACCATTGAGCTAGTGCATAAAAGCGTATGCGTCATATCTTTCACTGTTATGTCAGATGAATGTTTAACTGGCTTTTGATCGGTAGTGAAAACCTTAATCCGACGACAAATAGTGAAAACACAAGGACTAATGATATGGATTTTATCCCTTAATTAAATTGAAATGACATATGAGGAAAGTCTATTTCATAGGTCTTTCTTTCCCCTAATAGATTAAGTCATTACTCCTAATAACACCACCTCTTAGTACCGATATACAATGTTTCCCATTTAAAATTAACGATGTCGGGTTGTGGAGATTGTTAAGTTTTTCATTGAGATCATGAATTGATCAATGTTAGATAAGTATTTAAAACCTGGAAGTACTGGACAGCCAAACCGTTCTAATATGGGACTCTTCGGCAGTGCGCATCTATGATCCTACACGTTTGACTCCAAGTAAAGACCATCTGTCTAGCGCACAAACACTTAACCTCTAGATCACTGAACTGGCATCCAACAGTGTTAAAGTCAAACTTCAACTAATCCACGAAATTGCGTGATCATCTTTCATTGTATTGAGGTAGACACCTATCTCTACCTGACACAGATTAGCACCAGTGGAGCTAAAATTATCGAAATGGACAAGAGAAGGGAGTGAGTATGTAAATTTAAGAAAATAGTTCGGACTTTCTCTACCAATGATAAATACTTTAGCAATCTAAATGAGACAGAAGGACACTATCTCTATACATCTGGTACATGATTTTAAATGATAAGTTATTTATGTTGACATGACATATAGTCACATATTCTTTTATTAAACTTACTATGAATCCAGTTCTAACTCTTTTCAACAATACAAGATAACTGGGCATACGTAATAAATATCCCAACCACCTCAACTAATGAACATTTACTAACTCATCAGTCGATTTTCCATATTTACCTAGCACGTTACGATCGATAATCTGTGGTTAAATATTAGTAACCTATGAATATCCTCCAACCTTTAGTTGGTGTCTCATTCATTCAACATGTGGTGCCAGTCAGCAAACGCCAATCGAACGTTCATAATTTGTACTGTAGTTTTATCAAACTCCAATCCACCAAGATAAATATAACTTCAAAAGTTAATGAATTAGTTGACGCGCTCAACTTTCTTATTAATTATCATTAGTTCAGGAGTTGATACAAATTTATCCTAAAATAAAAGTTCACATTTCAAGATGGAATAACACACTCTAAACAATAGAATCCATGACAGGCGTCTCGTTCTAATTGGGATTCATCAGCTGGATGTACCTGCATTTCAGTCTGGGACTCGAAGCCAATACAATTCGCTTCAAACGCCATCACGTTACCCACTCGGTCATTGAGTCCTGCTTGTGCTATGGGGTGAAGTTTGAATACACTTAATATTGTTTGTTTAAATCTTCACATCGATGTGTTAGGACTGCAACTGGTCAGTCTCTTATTGGTATATGTGCATACTGTGCGTATTGCCTCGATATAGTCTTAATTCACAAGCATCATAAGCAAAGATGGATAGTGGCTAGCAGTGGAATCCAGGCCGAACTTCCCGTTTTATTTTGGGACTCGTCAACTGGATGTACCTACATCTCAGAGGCATACGTACAGTATGCACATATGGCCAATAAGAGATTGATCAACTGAAGTCCTAAACATCAATAGAAAGATTTAAACAAACGATACCAAGTGAATTCAACTCTACATCTTGTTAGTGTCTTCCCTCACAACAATTATAAAATTACTAAAATCTCCACAAAAATACCCTCCTGATAATAACCAACATATGTTCACTAGTGATTGGCTACATGAGGTATTTCCTGGAGTTCTAGTGAGAAGCAGTAATCAGTAGAGTTTAACAAAGTCTGTTGTGAGATAGTAACTCAC